GCGCGCCGCATCCCCCCGCACGTGCTGGTGGACTGGGCCGTGCAGATCGCGCGCGGCATGCTCTACCTGCACCAGGAGGCCGTAGTGCCCATCCTGCACCGGGACCTCAAGTCCAGCAACAGTAAGTGGCACGGGTAGCCGGGGGGGAGTGGGGGGCACGGTGCCAGCTGCAAAGGGGCCGGGGGTCCGCGCCTGCGGCACCGCCCGCTCCGGCCTCCCGGGACTCAGAGGTGCAGAGAGTCCTTGCCTACGTGCTTCGGGGCAGGGGACACTGTCACCTGGACTTGTTGCCTTGGGGTGCCTTTTCTAACAGTGCACGCCGGGCTTGCTTGAAGATGAAACATTTGTGGGGTACCTGCATCTGCTGGAAACCTCGGGGGCAGTTTGGCCTTTAGGTGCCTTAGGTGGTTCGTTTGGGTGGGACTTTGCAAACCTGGGATGATGAGGACTATGAATTAGTGACCCGTGGCCCTCCTGGCCTAGTGGCCTTCTCAAACTCCCCCTGTCCTGTGCCTTTGCGGGTGCTGTATTGGGGTTCCCATTCTCCCGCTTTAAATATAGGTTCATGTCCTTTGACTTTTCCAAAGACCTCTTTCAGTCACATGTCTCTGCACATTAAATATGATTTTATTATTGGTCCAAGCACCAGGTCGCCCTTACGCACTTTTGGGTTATGAACAAGTGCGTTGTCCTTGAACAGATACTTGGAATCCTGAAGACCTGGCCTGTGTCATTTACTTTTTTTGCAAATCAGGGAGGGTTTTCCAGATGTCATAAAGAACTGACAAATGACCTATATACAAATCCTATTATAGTTCGCTCTATAAAAGAGCTAATAGAATTGCCGTTTGAAGTTGGCTCTTTAATATTGAAGTTCGCTTCGTATTCTTAGAATGGGATGAAATCTCATGAAAGATTAAAGGATGCAGCCGGAACTGGCCCTGGCTGCATGTCGTTCAACCTTGTCAAACCTGCTAGGACAGGAGCTAACTCAAACTGCAACACTGTCCTTCTCTGAGAGCAGAGAAGACTGACAGGAAGAAATAATATCTTCGTTGCAGGTTCGTGTGGATTTCTTTACCTATTCAAAATCCTTCAGTACTGACATTTACTTGAAAAGTGCTAATGTAGCATCTTTATTATGGGAATTATAGATAATCTGACTGTTGTAGCTATGTGTAAGCATCGAATACTTTTAGGTTTTGTTTTATGACCCTTCCCCCAATCTCATAATTTAGATAGCAGCTGCTTAAGCAACAGAGCAGAGTCTAACAAAATATGATAGGAAAAATGGAAGTGGTAGTGGCGGATACTTAGTGCCCTGACCGGCCACATGAAGGACTCTAGAACTACTTACTTTTCGCTGTGTTACAGTAAAAACGTAGATAGCACAATTTTCTGTGTACTCATTTTTGTAAATGCTTCAAGCCTGGTAACAGTCCTCAATACCAATTTGTGCCTGTTTCCTGAAATATACTTTCGTTGAAAGAAATGTTTAACCTGCTGCCATAGAACAAGTGACTTGTCCATGTGTCCTGTAAGACCCTCTTCCCAGTGACATCCTACAAGCCTGTGTCTGCCAGTTTTCTGCAGACCAGGTGTTTTCAGGACAGTGTCAGCACGGTCCCCTCTCCTGCCTGCCTCTTGGCAGTTGCAGCAGGGCTGTGGTAACGTAGAACCCGGCCTTCTACAAACATGGTGTTGCAGAACATCAAATCCCCAACACACAACTTGGCCTGTCTTGGTCCTTAGATGAAAAAATTGAAGGGCCTGTGGCTTTTACTTTTACACTGTATTTATCCAGATTTGTTTGGTTGCAGTAGTTCTCAAGAGGCAAACAAAGTGTTCCCAAGCAAGGTAGAGCATGTTTGTTACTGTTTGGAAGGGATGTTAAGCCCTATTCCAGTTGTTGCAAGTGGTAAACTGTTTTTAAGGCCTCCTAATACTACTAAGTAGTAAAAAGAAATAACACAACTGTGGAATAATAACTGGTTATATAGGATAGTTTTTATGGACACCAGAAAAACTTGTACAGTGGAGTGTAGACTGCTGTGTATACAGTAGATATGGTGTAATTTGAAGGTGATTACTTAGTTTCTGAAAGACTTTTCACCTTCAGAATAAATTGCCAAATTCCCTGGAGCATTTTAATTTCTGTAATTGTCAGGCAAGGTTTTTGCTTTAAGTTTTTGCACTCTTAAAAAGTCTTAATTGGCTAGTCACTAGTCTAGTCAAATATGTTTCTGAAAGACTTTTCACCTTCAGAATAAATTGCCAAATTCCCTGGAGCATTTTAATTTCTATAATTGTCAGGCAAGGTTTTTGCTTTAAGTTTTTGCACTCTTAAAAAGTTTTAATTGGCTAGTCACTAGTCTAGTCAAATATGTTACAGTATGACAATTATTATAGTTATTTAATCCCTATAAAATGGAAATTGTGAACAGAGCCTAAAATGTGCAAATCACAGTCCCTAGCACATGGCCTTATCCTGGCTGCGTGGTTTTATTTGTTCAGTAAATAAATGCAGGTACTTTGGAATTCTCTTATGATATGTGCAGCTGTAATTTCTTGTTCAGACTTCTGAGTGTAGCAGATACTCTGTTACAGTATATTGGTTATTTGCTAATGGTGGTAGTGAGTTAATAATAATGGAAACAAGGTTTTAAAAATCAATATTGAATTTTATTTTCACTGTGTACTTACGCAAGTCACAAAGAGCCAGTAGAAGACTACCTGGAACAAAGTCAGTGGAAATGATTGTTTAAAACAAATGTTTAAATTTGTTAAATGAATGTATTACTCTTGACAGATTTTCTTTCATCTGTTCTAAAGGGTCTTATCATATTTCATGAAAGAATGTCTGTGTTGAAATAATAGCTGATATGTTGTGATGATATAAACATTTCTGTCCCTTTTCTAACAGGCAGCAGCAGATTGAAAGGTGAGCTGAATTAGCAAGTTTTAAGCATCAATTATGTAGTAAAAAAAAAAAAAAAACATTGCTAGGCTCTGTAACTCTGGGGAAGCAAAATCCATAGGAAACACTTTGCTTAAGTCAATCTGTGTGCAACAACTAGAAAACCATGCAAGGTGACTTTGGGCTACTGTGAAAATTGCCAATTTCATAGAAGAGAAAGAAATCGTTGGAACTTATTTATTTAACACTTTTTGAGTGCCTTGTTCCCCAGTGACAGTCACTTCTGAGCCCCAGGGACATAGTGCACCCCAGAGGACAGTGACAGTATCCCTGCCATCAGAGAGCACAGTCTAATGGAAAGCTAGATGACGTTTATGCAATCAATACAGGTATTAGTAGGTACTGTTCCCCAGTGACAGTCACTTCTGAGCCCCAGGGACATAGTGCACCCCAGAGGACAGTGACGGTATCCCTGCCATCAGAGAGCACAGTCTAATGGAAAGCTAGATGGCGTTTATGCAATCAATACAGGTATTAGTAGGTACTAAGGCAAAATAGTGGTGGAGGATGGAGGGAGAGGCAGGTGTAGGTCTGGCCCCTCAGTGCACGTGGGGGTCCCTCTCTCAGTCTTGTCTCTAGGGGAGCCTTGGAGCATTTTGTGCAGGGGGGTGGCATGATGCGATTTCTGTTATCACAAGACCACCTGGCTGCTGTGGAGGAGGGACCAGAGGACATGCAGGACGCCTGTCGCGGGGTCCTGCGAGAGGAGGTACTAGCTCGGCCCAGGGTGGTAGCCGCAGAAATGGTTCCAGAGAGGTTTCCAGGGGGAGAGAAGATAGTGCCTTATAGGAATTGCCGAAGATGGTCTGGAGTATTAGAAGTTAATGTGTTTCATTAGCTGTGGCATAGTTCAGGACTGAAAGGAGATTGTGTGGCATCATTTATAGGACCTTTTTTCTTTTTGTAATATTAACTATCTTCAATCTTTTTTTTCCTTGAGAAGAAATAAACATTCCACGGGAAACTGAGCCACAAATTACGGTAGCTGCTTACTTTTATACTTTTTATGTCAGTGATTACACATCTTTATCCCGATTTTTCAACCTTTTGGGAATAATGATTATCTATGTATGTCATTATTTACGACTACATCTACAGTCCATGAATAGACCTGGTTATGTTTATTATGGAACACAACTCAGAGCTCTTACTAATACAAACTGCAGAAAGAATCTAATTTTTTCCCCAGCTTTTCCATTAGTACCATGTAAATAAGGGACTATTTGAGAAAATTATAGCAAATGTAAGCTCCAAATAAGGAGTTTAAATCACTCATCAGAGTGATTAGGGGAGCAGTTAGTTATGCTATGATCAGTTAAAACACGTATGTCCCTTCTCCTGTCCTTTTACTCAAGACTTGTGGCTTCATGCTCCAGTTGCTGCCTGTTCCAGGAGGCACAGACATCCATCCATGATAGAGTTTGGATGTGTTGTCCCCC